TATATATATATATATTAAATTGTATATATTTCATATACATATATTAACACATACATATATCATTTCATATATATATCATTTCATATACATATATTAAACAATATTTCGTTAATTAATGATGTTATACAACACTTTATTATCTTAATTGTTTGAAAACCTATATAAAACCTATATTACATGACATTTTAATTCTTTCAAATTTCAATAAACTAAATATCATAAAATAAAAACATTACAATCTTGTAATCTCTTTTTATTTAATATTAGACATTATGTATATCATAATAAGCATAAAAATTATTTGATGATTTGTTTAAATGTTTTATAGTTATAAAATAAATAAAAAAGAAGCGGAGAAATAAATTATTCCACATGCTGTGGTCTCTTTAGACTGAAATCAGACTATGCATTGAAGAATGAGATTGAAGATTGAAAGATTGAAGTTTGACTAATCCAGAACAAAAGGAGCCAAAACTTCTTTATTCTCATTGATGAAATTTCAATCTTTAATCTTTAATCTTTAATCTCAATCTTTAATGCGGTCTGATTCGGACCTTAGAGTTTAGATTCATAGATATACAGGTACACATATACTTACAACAAATATTTTATTGCAAAACGTTAATTTATATTATTTATATTATTGATAAAACGATTCGCCACTAACATCAATCAAGAAATTATTTTTTAATAAATGTTGATCGAAATAAACATCATACACAAAATAGAATTAACAGAAAATTTGGAAGAATGCAGATTCAATGGAGTAAATTGGAATAGAGTTATACTTATACTTCTACACAATATACACTACACAATATACTTCACAATGCGAAACTCAGGTTAGTTAAGGTTAGTAAGATTAGAAAGAAATTTAAGAACGACTGTCCTGTTATATGAACCAAATCACAGGTACACTAGCGCCAATACATATATTTTCAATTTGGGAACTACTAGCTACATATTGACGATAAAAACACGATGTCGAAAATCCATGTGGTGCATATCTGTGCTAAATCGCAGTGCTAAATAACATACTAAATGACGTGCTTTAGAAAATGTAATATAAATTATAATTTGTAGATTATTTAAATATTTAAAAATATAAAATGTACATATTATTTATAATTCTACAACAAAATTCTTATGCTCATTCGCTAATTTGCAAGATAATGTCAATATACCTAATTTCGAGTCCATTTTCGAATGTTAATATAATATGCAAAAAACCTAATAATGTTTTCCATTTCATTTATACACAAATAAATTAACGACCCGACAACAATATAATTTTTTGTTAGTTAAATTACGAAATCAATTAAATACAGTACGTTTTGATAGAGAACTTTATTCTTCTTTCATTATTTAACATTAATGCTACATTGACAATAAAAAGATTTAACAGATTGAATATGGATAATAATTGTTTATAGATAAATAAATTACATTAAATAAACTAAAATTACAAGTTTGATTTATTTTTTACTGAGTATCCAGAAATATTAATAAGATATTCATAATTTTAATTATATTAGATGTCTGAAATTCGTTTTATCTTGAAAGTAGAGCATTTTAGTAAAAAGTTTCAGACAAAAGTTGTATATAGTTTCGAGGTGTACATGACGTGGTGTCCATTAATTGAATAATCTGTGAATACTAAATCCATCTGAAAAATATAATTATACAAATTCTTATAGTATAATATATAATATAATCCTTATAATATAATATAGTATCATACGTTCTAATTGTAAAATCTCATATTTTATCATAACAACCAGAAATTTTGTTTGATTTAACTAAAATGCATTTAACTATATATGTTGATGTTAAAACATAATCAAACCGTTTTTTATATGCATTTGACAGAATAGAAGATCTATGATGAATTATATACCTGTATTAAAATCATCAGAACACTAAAAATCGTATTGTACAACTGAAAAAAATATGCTCTCATTATATTTAATGAAAATATTTGTGTTAAATAAAGAACAATTAATGTGAAAGAAATTTTTGAATATGTAAAATAACAATGAATATGTAAAATAACAAATACAAATGCAATTAATTAAGAAATAATTCCAATATAATGTTGCCATTAAATATTTATGTAATTTGCAGGATTAAATGTATAAAAGTATTTATTCTATTATATGTATACGTTCTATTATGTGCTTATACTTTTAATCAATATGAGATATACCTCGCAAACGAAAGTATATCCAAAGTAGAGAAGTCTCGTGCCAAATTTTGTTTTCCTTAGTTTTATTTGCAATATAAATTTTAAAATTTAATTAACATAAATAATTTAATAAATATTAAATATACACTACATTTATAACTGTTCGAACACTCGCATAAATTCTATCAAATGGCCATATAAAAAATTAGAAACTATTAGAATTATTATAAAATATCAAGTATATTACACCGTTAAATTATTCAATGGAGCAATCTATCCCTTAATTAAGTTAAATAACATTTTATAATTTTTAATTTGACTATGTATCAAAATCAATCCATTTTTCAGTTTCAAAGTAAACAACGATTATATTAGATAATAATTAAATTTAATATAAATTTAATATA